TGTTCAAAAACATTTTGTTCAGACCCTCTCCCTGGTATGGTCTTCACCTCCAACGCAGAATACTTATTTCTCCGGATGACACAGGATAAATACAAATATTAATTTCATTTTTATTTGTACTGTTAACTTTATAATCAATATCATGCTGTGCTATAGTTTAATATTACAATCTTCGCTTTACAATTTATTATAATATAAAAATTCATCTTTATTGTTTCATGCTAGTATATGCGGCCTACTGTATCAGAAATGCTTCGTCTTAAATAGTATTTTTCAATGGCGATCAATCAAACTGGTATGTATTTGGGGAGTAGACGTCACGCGAAAAGAAAGACAAAAACTGACAATAACAGAAACAATCATAGTAATCATAATCATAATGACGCTAATAATGGTAGACATCAGTAACCAGTATATCATAATATTGTCTCTAATTTAGACAAACGTGCCAAATATGTTCAGTGTGCCTGCCTTGACTATACATCTACCTTTGACTTTGTACCTGGGCTTCTTCTGTTAAACAAGCTTGCTGCAACACAAGCAGGCTACTGGACTAATAAGTACTTGCATTTTTATTTTTCTAATAAAAAGCAGTATACTATTTACAAAGGGAAGTCCTCCACTGCTTTACTTTAGCTGGTATTCCTCAGGATGCTGTTATTTCTCCTTTTCTGTTTTCTTTCTTCTTACATGACTTGCCCCATTCTAATGAAGCCGATTTTTCTAAGTATGCCGATGATCGCGTCAGTGGTTCAGCGGTAAAATTCTCATCAACCACCCACGTGGTCCATAGTTCTATCTCTCACCGAAGCACTCGTAAATCTTGCTAAGTCGGTGTGGTAAGCTCAGCAAAGAAGGAATATTGGGAGTGAGGCTAGCAATCCCACTCCTTAAAAATAAAACCACTGCTACAGAAATTTCAAAGCTCTAGCTTAAAGCCCTTAGTTCTATTCTGTAGGGTGCAGGAGGTCGGGTGTGAGGACAAATACTCGGCGAAGACATTGGCTAGGGGTCGCGCTATGTCATGAATTGGCAAAAGTTAGGATTCATGGACCATTGGATCAGGTCCCAGTGGCTTAATGGTCAACGAGCTCGCTAGCCTTGTAACCAGAAGGTCCTGGGTCCGAATCCCGGTGGGTGCGTACTGTGAAGAGTCCCAAACCAGGGCGAAACAGCTGTCCAGTACTCCCAGGTTTTCCAATGGTTCTCTAACTAATGTCAGCTCATGATGAAAATCCTGTAACCAATGAAATCACTACAAACCAACACTTGAAAATTAAATAATGCTGATGATCTAACTGCTTCTCAGTCAGACTGTTCCAAAATGAATAACTCATTCATAGAAATTAGTCACAGGTCCTCATCAAATGGTGTTAAGCTAAATCTATACAAATGTCAGGTCGTTAACTTCACTTTCAGACACAAGCGCAACTTACGTGAGTTGGTTAGTTCGCATGGTTCCGAGATCATAGATACCACAGAGGTTGAAACTGAATCGAATGTTAAATACCTTGGACTGTGTATTTCCTATGATCTTTCCAGGTCTTCCCACATCCTGTTAGTTTCTACAATGGTATATCGTTTAACGTACTATTTAAGGATGTTAAGACAATCTGATATCACTCAGTCTCTACTTTCTAAGTCTGTTAATTCTTGTATTCTACCTATCCTCCTTTATAACACTGCGAAGGGCACTAAAATCTGTCAGTAGGGCAAGTGGGTGTAGATAGACAGATAGAAATTACCGAGTATTATTTTCAAGTGCTGGTTTGCAGGGATCTGATTGGTTACAGGATTTCACCATGAGGTGACATCGATTAGATGAACATTAGAAAACCTAGAAGTGCTGGACAACTATTTAGCCCTAGTTTGGGACTAATCAGCAGTACGCACCCATAGGGGTCCGGATCGGGGACCTTCCGGTTACATCCTCCGCATACACAACTCTCCTCTTTGCATCTCATCAGATAGAACTCGAAGCAACTATAGAAGACTATATGCTCGGACGAATAAGTATAAAAACTCTATAATACCTTATTCACTACACATTCTATGCAATGAGAAAAGTGTGGGAAAGGACACTGCTAACTTACTGTAGAACACTAAGTAAACAGCCTTCTTTTTGCTTTTCTTTTATTTTCACTTTATTTCATTTTATATTCATATTGATATTGAACAATATTATCAATGTAAATGCCATGTTTTAATCATTACCCCTGTAATGCGAAAACGCCAAGAATTCGATATTTGTGCCAAAAATACTGTTTGGAATAAAGCTATTATTATTATTATGGTATAAGGCACGTTGTTGGGGCTATTCAAACACATAGTATTATGAAACAACTAGCATTTGAACACCCTAACAAATGAAATAAATAGTGAACCCATGTAAGAAAATAACTGAGAGTATAAAAAATGCTGTTACAATATTCTAGTGCGAAGCCGTGACCAGTAGGTTACAGCAGCTTGAAAGTGAGGCAGTAACTTATCGAAGAAGACATTGCGAAGTGGTCACGCTGTCATGACTTAGCAGAAGCTAGAATTTATGGAGTGGCCAGTGAATCGGGTCCTAGTGGCTTAATTATCTACAAGCTGGCTCGCATTGTTATCAGAAGGTTCAGAGTTTGAACGCTGGTAGTGGGTGCGTACCGATGAAGAGTCCCAAACTGGGACGAAACATGTATCCAGTACTCCCTGCAGGTTTTCCAATGGTTCTCTAACTGATGTCAGCTAATGATGAAATCCTACAACCTATCAAACAAAGTCCCTACAAATCCAATACTTGAAAATATTCAAATACACTAGGATAAATGTGTCCAAATCCTAGTCCGTCACTCATAAATTCAAGTGTTTAAATAACTTAGCAACCTAGTATATACCAACAGGCAGAAAAAGTCTCTGTTGTACATACATATTTGACATTCGGATGAGTCACTATAATGCTATTGGTTATATACTTTATGTTGTAGAAAGATGACTAACGCCCATTTATCATATTTCCTAATATATTAAAAGTTGATTAAGCTGTCTGAGACACCCTTAGTTTAGCAAAGTTCAAAGGGAGTTAACACTGAACATCTAACAAAAGCCTGAAATGCAACGGGGAATGTGATAATGTGGTGAGTTCTACTTATAATCGGATATAAGTAGTATATCAGTAAACGAATTCAGAAAAGCAACAATGTTTCGGACACTGGAAAAAGCAGTCAAAGAAGAGAACTATGAGAAAAACGTCACAAAACTGTGCAGAATCCAACAAGCTACCCCTTGTGGTGATATTCAACCAATTTGCAAATGATGTGCAAATAAAAACTTAAAAATAAGGTATACCACAATTATGTAGCTACAATGCATTTGTGCTAATAAACATTGCCCTCGAGCCTCGTCGGTCTTTTCTTCCTTACAATACCACTGGAATCTCAATCAAACTGACGCTAATCATGTAGCTTGACTAAATTCTTCTGGTTTAGTGTTTCACATTATATGAGAATAAACAAATGCTGAACATGTGACTGTCATGTTGACTCTATGTGGGCCTAGATTTAGTCATAAAACAACACTTTATTTATTATTACTATTATTATTATTACCATTAATAATAAATATTTCTAAGACTATCCTTTTTCTATAAATATAAAACTAATGAAAAATATTTTGATTTGCAGTCAGATTCAATAATGTTTAGAATTATAAAACTTTGATGTTTAGGGGGAAAATCAAAAATTAATTCATATTAAAACCACCAATCGTTTGCAGATATTTGCAGATATTGGAGCACTTAAGATTGCAGTGATTCAAAAGGTTTATTACGTGGGAAACTTAACACGGCTGTCAAGCAATGTTAGCTGACACAGGATCAGACTGGAAATATGTCATTATTCCATGAAGTTACTGATTGTTGATTTGAACTACGTAGGACAGTGTCAGCTACTCGGTTAAGGTCCCTGAGACTCTAAGACCCAACGGCTGGACCGTGTTGGTGACACGGTACAAAATTGCTGTCAATGGTAAAGACATATTCATTTTTTGTGACCTTACAGCACTATTAAATTGTCATGGTTCTATGGTGAAAATTTCTCCCCTAGAACTGCGTGCATCTCAAATTGCTAACTAATTCCCAAACTGTGAATTTGAGCTGTAGTGTCACGAGTTCGACCAAATAGCTAGACAGAAATCGAGTGGTTTGAATTGATTCGAATCTCCGGGCTGAGTTAAACCGGGTACACCGCCGATGATCTCGGCCCAAAATGAACGAAATGACTGTCCAGCGCTTAGATCACCTCGATCTGGTTGGCTAGCAAGCGCTAGTGGTTGATATGAGTGGCATACAACTACTCATTCCAATCAATTGGTAGTATATAGTTTTATTTCATAGTACCCTGTGTAATTATTATTTCCCCTATACATTTCTGTCTATTGTTGTTTCTTTGCATTTATGTGTACTTCTTTATGGAGTGTGGTAACGTGAACTGCTACCTCTCTGTGAAAATTCAGTTCAGATCAGTTCAGCCCACATTAAATAAACGTCTTTGACACAATACTGCGTTGAATTACAAGTTTTACAGTATTAAGAAGTTCCGAACCACGATAAAGTGGGCTGTCTAACATTTTCTAGCTTTCATTAGTACGCCAGTCACTGCCTAAACATGATAAAACAATTACCCTGAAAATCCTCATTTAAGTCCACTATTGGCTCAACTGTAGACTGCTCACCAATCGCGCACGTAGTCTGGGGTTCGACTCCCGGTCGACGCACGCCTAAACTTCGCTTAGCTGGTAGTGAGTCCGGTAAAGAGGGAAAGTTTGGCCGTAAGACCACCATATAAGGTAAAAAATATACATAAAAACAACCCCTACTAAATATTTAAAGCCCAGGCTTGGAGCCCTATGTTCCCATCGGGTAACAAAGGAATGAAAGAAAACAGTGCACATTTAACAATCGAATTAAACAAGTACTAACAATAACAATAAATGAAATTAGATTTAATCAAATAGCCTACCTTCTTTTCATTAGGCATTTTATTCCAACGTTCTACTAACTGACGAGCTCTTCCTGAAGATGGAAATACATCACTATGTGCATTTGTCGCTGCTGGTTGAGATGGGTTGAGGACAATACGTGAAAGCTTCATTTGATGTAGGGATGTATAAAACACATACACATGAGAAATTATTCACAGAGAAAAATGTAAAATTGAAACAGGTTTTTATCGAAGAATAAATAACAAACATTTTTCAGTAGGCCAAAGGGATCGAGACAGGATGAATATATTAGCTTAAGCGCTTAAATGCGTGACAAATTAAAATTAAAATTTTTAATAAAGTTACTAACCTTCCTCTACGCCTACGCCCCCATAAATCACTTGGTACAGAGCCAAGAGTGAATAGAATAATCCTGTTTTCAACTCAGAATGCTTTCATGTGATCATTTATTCAAAGCCACTTCTAGGTAATTCCCATTCACTGCTTTCAATCATTGGGCGAGTATGTTGCTTACAGAGGTGAAAGGGCAAACACGAACGTCTCACGCTTACAACTAGACTGGTGGATATGTTGGTCTGCCTAGTGAAGCTGGAAAACCCTGATTCATAACCTATGGTACATATCAGCTCCAGAATCTGGACGAATTGAATGACATATGAACCTATTTTGGTCACCAGAAACCATGAGAACGATACTGGACTGCCTTGTGGGTTAAACTCTAAGTCAAAGGCTTGGAGTGTGGCCCCTTAAAACAATCACCTGCTTTGCTCTGGGCATCTGAGATTTTGTCTGGTGCATTTCTTGATGCCCATAATGAAACAAGTTTGTGTTTTAATTAGTAAACAAATAATGCCTTATATTGTTTTTGTGCTAAGTGTCAACATCACTGCTTTATGCAACATAAGAGGTAGCAGACACGATCACTACCTAAGCTAGGCAAAAATCACAATTCTGCTCAAATTATGACTCATTATAGCTGTAGTTTCAGTCTCTTTTTCTTGCAGATTTCTTCTCCTCATCGCAAATACAGACAGCGACACCAGCTACAGTTAGCTCAGCCTTGGAGTAAAATAATCTTAGTCTGTCTACTGTTTGTCAAGTGAAATAACATTAATTTCAAATCTGATCATAAACTGACTTAAGTTAGAAAGCCAGGGAGTACTAGACATTTTGGCACTCCTAAGTAGTACGTACTCATCTGGTTGTCCATTCGGCCATTGGAATGTAGTCCGATGAACTATGAATTCTAACTTCTGTTAATTCGCGATATATAGCGCAACCTCTAGCTAGCTAATGTCATCAGCAAGTATTTATCCTCACACTCAATTTGGTAAACCCAGCTGGTTACAACTTTCCACTAGAAATTCAGACTGCTTGATTCTGTAGTCAGTCACTAGCGTGCATGAGATGGTGGTTGAATGGTCAAAGAGCTTGTTGCCTTGTAACCTGAAAGTCCTGGGTTCGATCCCTAGTGGGACTATGGGTGCATACTGATGAAGAGTCTCAAGATATCACGAAACAGCTTTGCAGTAATCCCGGGACTTAATGGTGTCCTTAACTGATGTCATTTAGTGATCTCACTTGAAAACAATAAAAAGCCCACAAACCAACGTCTTAAATAACATTATAGTTAAAGAAAGAGAACGATGAACAGGCGAAAGTTATGGTAGGCGCCAACCTCATGATATTATTGACTATTAATCTGTTTAGAAATGTGTAGAATACCGAGCTGTGGAGTTTTACATGACCAATAAGGATATTTGACCTTACAGACTCAACAGAAACATTTCGTTTTTATTCTTTTCCATCAGACGTGACGTTAGGTTTCTTGATGTTTTCTTTCTTTAAACTCAAAGGTGCTATGCAAATTTTCTGGTGATATGATTTCCATTATCTTCTATTGTATGTCATGTCAAATTGAAGCAATACACAGTGTTCCAGGTGGAAAATAGTGCCTCAGCAGCACATCTCCAATTCATTCTCTTCTCCTACAGTCCCTTTTATCTGGTCCCATAACCTCCTATAAGCTTTCATCTCCTCCACATCACTCTCGGATGCCCACCCGAGGGCTTGTCTCAACGGTCTTCTCACAATGTGTCCGATCCACCTCCAGTTTCTTCTGCATATTTGTTGGGCAACAGGTTCTTGGTTTGTTCATTGCCAAAGTTCCTTGTTGCTAATCTCCTTTCTGGTTATCTGATCTTCAGTGTTGAGACGCCGAAGGCAGCTGTGGATGAAAGCCTGCAATGGCCTGTTCGAAATGCTTTTCGTGACATACTAAGCCTCTAAACCACACAGAAGTGTTCGCTGGACATTAGTGTACTTTATGGTGAGCGCCGCAGATTTCCATATTGATTTCAGAGTGATGAAAGTACTGTGTTCATAATATTTATCTATCTATCTACCTATCTACCAGTCTGTCAGTAAACCTACTCATCTTGCTACATCTTTTTTCTCACGCATATACAACAACTTAGTTACACAAATGCTGTTTAACTGTACAAACAGTGGAACAGTTAACTCAAAGCAAAGATTTCACTTCAATCAACAATTTTAGTTACTTCAGCAAAACACAATCTTTTAATTAAATAATGACAGTTATATAACAGTAAGCACAGTAATAATAATAATAATGATAAGTTCACCTGATTTTGTGTTGAATAACTCTGTGTACTGCCACCACCATTCACTTTATTTCCAGTCTCTAAACCTTGAAACTTGGCTACTAATGCTTGAGTGACATGTCCTGATGGACGTTCTTCTGCTGGAATTGGTGAATCGCTTCGTCTATCTATAAATAAAATAAAATCATTAAGACAAGCAAATAAACACGCAAAACGTTATAAGTATTACAAACTAGTAAACAAGAATAAGTTAATAATTCTGAATTGTTATTAGATGGTTAGAGGCAATCTGCTGGAAGCCTTGGACCTAGATTTCGTGCCTCTTGGAACACTTCAGTGGGGTATAACTCCAAAGAACTCATGACCCTTCTGAGATTTGAATTCAGATCACCCGGGGCTGCAGTCGGGGATGCTGCCACTAAGCTGTTCGGGTTCGAGATTAATTTCCTGGAGGAAACTAGGCAGTAACTAATGTCACGCGTTTCTGAATACAGCATTGGGTGAGCTGCGTCCTAATCTCAGAAGGGACAGGAGTTCCTTCAAGGTTGCAGATACGCTTTGCTGACAGTGCCAACAAGCACGAAACCTAGGTCTAAGGCTTCCCCTGCCGACCGCCTTCAAACATTTAATAACAACTCAAGGTGTAACGTGATGCCAAGCCACCTAGTTTATTGGCCACATTGCAAACTTGACTGACAGAATTCAATCCGCACCAGTACCAAGGAATTAATCATTGAAATGAGAGGATAGGTAAATATTCTGCCAGGTGAACATCTGATTAACATTTTCTATAGACTCGAATAATGATCTATGAATCAGGCTGTAATCAGAAGGTCTTCGGTTCGGTCCTTGGTACGTGCTTACTGTCGATAAATGCCAAACCAGGAAGAAACAGATGGTTGTCCAGTACCCCCTGATATTCAGTCGTTCTCTAAGTGATATCAATCCCTCCTCAAGCTTGCAACAAATCAAATCCCTGCAAGCTAACATTTGAAAAGCAATCTGATGTTCGCCAGTGATTGGCTACATGACAAAGTTGCCTATAGTTCTAATGAGAAGTCAGCCCAACGTGAGGACAAATACTCACCGACGACATTGGCTAGTGCCGGTTGCGCTGAAATCACGAAGTGGCAGAAGCTAAAATCCGTGGGCTATTGGATCCTATCACAGTGGGGTAAAATGATCTACAGTCTGATCTTGTGACCTGAAAGTCCTGGGTTCGATCCTTGGTGGGATCATGAGTACGTACTGATGATGAGTCCCAAATAGGACGAAATGTACATCTTAGATTCCAATGCGTAACATTAAATTTTATTACCACACTTTATCTACACTGAACCTGTATATAATTACATAGATAGGAATTGAGTACTTCAAAAATATTGTTGAATAAAATAATTTTAAAACTTCAGCATTCAATGTAACTGTCTGTCTAACTTGATTGATGAACCAGTTAGACCAGCTTGTGAGAAAATTAATATACACTACACATCTGTTATACTTATACTAATAATTCAGTTTTACCACTCACAGTATTGTTACATCATTTTATCTTTATGTTTATATCACACGAAAAATAATCATGATTAATTTGGATATTTTATTTTGAAATCTATAAATACGGTAGAATAGACAAATTCATTTCAGTTATTAAGTTCAGTTGAAACCACCACACCACTTAGAATTAGATGAAGGAGTAACATGGAATGAATGCTTCTAGTATAGGTTTTTGCTCATGACAAGAGTGGTAGGCTGGAATTGAGAAAGGCATCGACAATTCATTGTGTCCCAAACTACTTATCATGTATAAACGACACTGGAGAATTAGACATGTTGATACGTTTCGCACGAATTGAATAGTTTGTTTGATTGAGCAACTTTCATGTTATATCTCTTCGCGGACAACATTTTCAGTGCTAACTTTAGTGTGAAGCTTCGCAGTTGCGAACAGTCGAGTTTAGAGGTTTCACATAAATAGGAAAATTTATAGTTAATATACTATTTGACCACCACCACCACCACTACTGAATAACAACCAGATATATCTTGACCTAGGTATGTTTATGCTCTGACTGGACATTAGTAACTAGTGTGATGTGTCTAGTCCTTTCTTTGGTGCAGACTAAATTCTATCAGTCAGGTTTGCAATGTGGCCACCATTCTAGGTAGCTCACCATCACGGTGCACATTGATTTCATGATATATTAAATGGTTGGAGGCAGTCGGTAGGAAGCCTTGGACCTAGGTTTCGTGCTAGTTGGCACTCACCAGTCACTAAGGTGTATCTGCAACCTTGAAAGAACTCATGTCCACTGTGAGACTCGAACCCGCATCACCCAGTGCTACAGTCAGAGATGGGCTAGTGAGGTCAAATAGCTCAGTGATAACGTTTCTGACTGCAGCATTGGGTCACACAGGTTCGAATCTCAGAAGGGACATGAGTTCCTTCGAGATGATCGCAGATACGCCTTGCTGACTAGTGAGTGCCAACTTGCACAAAACCTAGATCCAAGGCTTCCTGCCGATTGCCTCCAACCATCTAATATATAGGTATGTTTATGTTTTATAAGGGCTGATGAACACCTAGTTAGATTTTTTTTAAAGAATTATTCTAATCATTACTTATACAAACAGTCAAATCAAAGTGGCGAAGTACACACAACACGCTATTCCATAACATACTTTTTGAATATTTCTTTGGATAAGAACTACAAAAACCACATCTTCGATAGGAACAAAACACACTACATAGCATATGAATTAGAGAGTTACAAAGCCCTCGTATCTCATAGCCATCCTTTCTAGACATGAAGAGTTAGTTTGTTCAGAAAATAGGAAAAATCCTTTAAAACTGAGAGTGCGGCGGGTGCTACTGACAAGACTTATAAGTACTATGTAATTGCAGATATAAATATGAATATCGAATAATAGGGAGATGAATTTAACGGTGAAGAGAAGAAATAAACGAAGCTTCTGAAACAATATGGAAAACATGAAAGGAGGACAAAGTAGTACAATTGTGATTTTAATGTATCGTAGGCGTATTTTCCCTCTTTCTGTGTATCGAGTTTCTAATAAATGATTCCGTCGGTAAATTCTTTTATCTTCTGCTGGTACAACAGAAATCACAATAATTTTATGTTAACAGGAAATGTATGTGACAAACACTCTATACTGTTGTCATTTTAGAAAATAATGACGTCTCCCTAAGAATATGCTCGCCAGTCAAAATATGTCCTCAGGACGCTGAGAAACGATGCCTATAATGAGACTAGAAACATGCAAAACCGTGTATTAACGCTTTGCCGTCTTAAGAAGTCTGAACACTTTCATTATTCTTCACTAAACTACTCCCTCTCCCAATTATGTTTACCAATTGCAGCACCATTACATTTTTAACTTCTTCTTGTATCTAAACTTTTACCAAGTGTAGCAATTTAGAGTGATACACGCCTGTGTAATAAAAACCTCCAGTTAAAATTCTCTTATATGATACATGCTATACCCTTATTACCTGAAGCATCACTACTAGAGGAATGATGTGTTGTGGAACGTACATCTAGTTCGGAAATGGACCAATCAAAATGGACTCTGTGCTAACTAAGACTAACGATAGTTAGACTAACAGACGACCAATCGATTTTAGACTTTTAAAACGTTTGCAGTTTGGCGATAGAATAATGAACTGCTTTAAAGTGCCTCAGGCTATTCAGTGTGAATGCACCTTCCAGACACGTTTCAGTGTCTTTTCTTCACGGTGGGAGAATCACTTGGATGATGAAAAGCTGATATTCGTCTATAGCTGTAGCTACAACAATTGTTGCATTTTCCTCTTAAGCTACCAGAATGATAAATTAGGAACCCTAAAATTTACCAGTTGAGAGAATGAATACTCTAATCGAACCAGAGACATAAAAAGATGATAAATACATTCTATCACAACGCTACTAGTATATTATTATCAATATTATTATTTTAAGTATTAGTTTCGTAGGGATTTTTTTGTTTGATTGGTTGGAGGGTTTCATCATGAGCTGACATCAGTTAGTGAACCATCGAAATCCAGTATCGGGGTACCAGACAGATGTTTCGTCCTAGTTTGGGACTCTTTACAGTATGTGACCACCGGGGTTCGGACTCAGGACCTCCTGGTTACAAGGCGAGTTCGTATTCCGAGTGGAATAAAGGGCTAACTGCCCGACACATGTTCACTGAAGTGTATTCTATGCCACCCCTTTAAGTTGGTTTCACAAATACATACAAGCTTTCGTTTTCTCCCCACACGATTTCCATGTTACTCTCGGATACCCAGTCCATCCCTTCCTATTCAGTACCTACTTGACAGCTTGACGCGTAATGTCAATCAATAGTCTTACCAGACTATGTTCAATTCATCTACACTTCCTTCCTTATATTTGTTGGACGACAGGTTCTTGGTTGGTTTGCTGCTTCTTCCAAAGTTCCATTTTTTCTAACTGGTCATTTGATTTTCAGTATGAAGTGAACGCATCTGTAGTAGTCTTTAGAAAGTCCTCGAACCATATATAAATGTACTGACTTGACACTAGTGCTGGAAACTCCAGTTTCGCTCGGAGCGATAAATGCATGTCTTACTTTCCCAATTCTGGTCGGCTTTGACGTTATCATCCGTACCACTCATAGTTGAAACGATGCTGTACATGTAAATGACAGAGAGATAACTTCATTTAGATTCCTCCCATTGATGCCGATTAGTGCTTGTTGTTGTTGTTGTTGGCATTGGTTGGGCACCTTCATCACTTCTATCTTCTACATGTTAATCTGAAGTCCAATTTTGCCTGTCGCTTTTGCCAACTTGTTGATTTTCACCTGTATATCTTCGAGTTTGTGTGACATGAGACAGACCTTCTAGGGATCATTTTGTCAGTCCAGTAGTGTATGCCCATCTCCTCACACTCCCACTCATATTCAAAATCACTGCATACAATATCAGTATGCTTAAAATATACAAGAACCAGGTAAATTCAGTCACACACAAAAGTATTACACGTAAATTGTGTTTAGACTATTTATTATCTCTAAAGTACATCCAGTATATCACGTAGGATATACAGTCTACAGGTTGTCGATATGCAGAATGATCCACAGTATCACATTATTTTACGATATATTCACAGTTCTCAGTAAT